GGGGGGGGGGGGGGGGGGGGAAGAGCTGAATTTCCTAAAGTGTTATTACTCCCTGACATAGAAAACAGTAACAAGAATATAACAGGTAAGGCTCTTTCCCCCTCCACCTTGTCTATATGCATTAACTCATTCCAGGTTCACTTCTGCTTGCCCATTCGCTGTGGGGCTGAATGTTCTCTGCATCATTAATTAGGTCATGGAATCCTACACTTGGAAGGAACCTTGGAGGACCCTGAGTCCCAGCTCTACCCAGTGTTAGATTTCCCTCCATTGTACCTCTAATTGGATACCTCCAGTTATAGGACAATCCTTTTCACCCAGATCTTCTGTGTATTGTCCTCTGTTAGTTCTGACTCTAGAACCTACTCTCTAGAACCTTAAGTAATATTAAAATAATAAAGACAGTTGTTCTAACTTCTTTTTCTAGAACTCTAGAACCTTCTCCTAGATAATACTTATTAAAATAATAAAGATAGTTATTATATCTTTTTTCACAAATAAAACTCCAGAGCTCCTTTAATAATTCCTCAAAGTAATGATCCCTTACCATCCTCATCTCTTTCCTCAGGACTCAATACAGGCCCTAGGCCTTATGCAAATATGGTATGGGGCAGTCTACTTACTGCAAAGTAGAGTGGTATCCAAGCCCCTCTGTCACTTTTCATTTAAGTACCTCCTGGAATTTTTATGGAAGCCTTTATAAAGCTCCTTTGGTACTCATGACAACATTTATATTGAACTTGCAGTCAACTAAAATCCTTCACTCTTAGTCATTATTAGACCTTAATTCTTTCAACTCATCATACATACATATTGTAACTACTTCTATGTCAAAGTTCAGGATATTATATTTGTCTTTGAGTTTTAATTGGTAGTCTTGGCCCCTGAGTCTAGCCTGGAAAGACTTTTTTAATCAAAATTGTGCATGTATTACAAATAGTATAATTGATATTTCTCTAAAAATATCAGTAGACTGAGATGGCCCAATACTGCAGTAGTTAAACACCATGTGGAAGGAGCCAGATCCACATGGCCAACCAGGATTCAAATCCTAGTCCTGGCAGCTTGAAAAACATACCAGGCATGTATACACATGTCCAAATCCCAATAGGAAGAAGGAACGGATGAAACAGGATTGCAGCATGACCAGGCCCCATTAAGGGACACTTTGACTTTCTTTCTCTCTCTGGTGCACACACATGCCCTCTGGCATTGGGGGGGGGGACCACTGATTCTACTAATTTTAATATTAATAATAATTCAGTTATAGTATATGTAAGTTTGAAGTAATTCCAGATTCTTGACATTAGTAAGGAGAATTCAATGTGAAATGTTTTCATAACAAGGGTTTAAAATATTAATACTTAATTGTTTTTTCTAACTTTGAAGTTTAATTTATCAGTTTATTTCAAATTATATATATAAAATACATAATTCTACTGGAAAATAACTGTTTAAATTATTTCACTTTACTTACGAGTAGTATTTGAAAAACATGGTCAGTAAAATTTCATGTCTTTATAAAATGTAATATTCCACTCAACTTACTGCTCTCCTTCCACTGCCTTTGTCCACTAATCAAGGTTAATGTGTTACAAGAGGGAACAATTACAGAGTTCCTGTAGGCCTCAAGACTCTGTATGAACCATGGGTTTGTAGCTCTCAGATAGGTGAGGGAAGAAAGAGAGGTTTTTCAAGGTGAAATAGCTGTAACAGAGAGAATTCTGAAGGCCTTTGGTCATCAGTTGTCTAAGTGCTTGCCATGAGGTGGCCAGGGTACTATAGAGATCAAATAAGCTTTAGATAAATTTGGAAAAACGCTGCCTGCTGACAGTATAGTAGGCTGTCTATAATAGTAAAACATGAGTGGCAGAATTTATAGCTTGGGGAATCATAAAATGGCTCACCTTGCTTTCTGCCCTTATTCTCTATTGCATTTGTAGTCTCTAGGGTACCACTGGAAAAGTAAGAACATGTCAACCATAGAAGTGGGGGAAAGGAAGAGGGAGGAAAGGAAGGAGAATGTACATGACAGCCTGAGATTTTTTAGTACAAAAACCCTCAACATGCCCTTCATTTTTTAGGACAGAGAAGTCCCTGCCATTGACAGGTGAACATCTTCCAAATAGATTAATTATTCTATGTGGAATAACCATGTGTCTAAGCAGATATATATAAATGTTGCTAATAGAAAGGCTCAGGATGGGCCATATGCCTTTGTATCCCATGTCTCCAGCAGCTGCTACTGGAAGGTAACAGATCCAGATGTCAGTTACAGTAAGATGTGAATCTAAATCAGGTTGAGGCTGGATGACTATGCTGCAGGCTAAAGAGGAGGCATCTTCCCCACCTCCTCGATGGGGTTTTTAATCCCTCTGCTTTTATTACTCACTTAAAACTCTCAGGGTTCAGCCCTGCCCACTCACTCCATACCCGCACCCCTAAAGAAAGGTTACTATCCAAAGATATTGATAATTTTTCCCTTTTTTAGGTAATAAGAGAAATGGATTTCAAAAGCAGAATAAAGGATTACACTTGGTGCTCTTGTAAAGGGCATTCTGAGTCAGCATATAGAGGCTGAAGAAAGGGTAATGAAATTGAAGTTGAGAGGCTGAAGTTGAGGGGTGAAGCTCTCTAAACCCTGCCAAGGCAAAGTCCTACGAGAGAACACTGCAATGAAGGTAGGGGGCTCTCTGAGCCCCATGATGATGACTGACCAGGAACCCCAAAGACTTAATGTTGTACGATCATAAAAAATAAATTTCTGGGCTACAAAAATGGTCTAATCATAAAAATCAAGAATACCTCTGGTTCCAGTCAGACTGAGGACAGATTAGATGACCCCCTGTGGTCTAGGCCTCCAACATCCTTGATCCTCTAAGCCTGATCATTCTGTTTGGAAAGTGCTTTTCTTCTTCTCTTCATACTGTAACAACTCTTCCTGCAGAGCTCTGGCCTCTCTACATGGATTGGGAACCAGATGTTGTCCCTGAGCAGCCTCCCTCCATGGGCTGTCACCCTGCTGGCATGCATCCTGGTGTCCATTGTCACAGAGTTTGTGAGCAACCCTGCCACCATCACCATCTTCCAGCCCATCTTGTGCAGCCTGGTGAGTAAAGCAGGCTCCTAAATGTCCAGATGGGCTGCCTCGAGGGCCTGCTACCTCAGGCCTAGCTCCAGGGAGCAGCTTCATGGCTGTACCCTCTCCTCTGGTTACTGCCCACAGGCTTCAATGACTGGTGTTCAAACCATAATCTGGAAAACTTTTTCCAGATAGTAGTTGATAAACAAAAAGATAAATTAATAAATTATAGCAGGACCAGCAGATGGCCTAATGGCTACATCACTGGACTTCCACATAGTCAACTGCAGTTTAAGTCCCAGACCTAGTGGCTTAAAACTCACACTGGGCATGTGTGTGTGTGTGTACAAAATCCTGAGGGGAGAATAAAGAGGGATTGCAGCATGACCATCCGCCCTAGGGTGGTGATTTCTTGCTTTCTCTCTGTCTCTGTCTCTCTGATGAGCACACGTACCTACAGCAAAAGTCTCTCTAAGAAAGAAAGAAAGAAAGAAAGAAAGAAAGAAAGAAAGAAAGAAAGAAAGAAAGAAAGAGAGAGAGAAATCTTAGCAAGAATTCTAGAAACCCTTTTCCAAAAGAGTGGAATTAGCTTAGAGGCATCCCTGAATGGCCACAAGAGAATGGACAAAATAACCCTAAAACTCTATAATTCCAATTCCCCACAATCATCAACTTTCATCTTCTGAGATAAAACCTAAGAGCGGGGTCAGAGAGGTAAACCACAGAGAATGTAGGCAAAACACACACAACTGCAAAGACCAAGACCAGAGCACTAACAATCACCCCCTCCGTCCAGTGTACTGTCTGCCAGGAGATCTGAGAGTTGGGAGCAAGATCAACCTCACTCCACAGACTCAAGACCAATTTGCTATAAAAGGAATAGGGGAGGGGAACCACTGCCAGATCTTGGCCAGCTAAGCAGACTGAAAGGTAACACCCCTGACTGAGTGCTCCATCTGTCTCAGTCTGGGAGGAGGAACCTAGGAAATGCGGGCTCACCTTCTGTCCCAGTGAAACAGTCTCTTCCTGTTCTAACTCCAAATTCTCCCCTGCCAAGTCTCTGGTCATCACTAAAATGTCCAACTCTCACTGCCATCATCTTGGCTGCGTGAGAAAAGGATGTAGATAAACCCTAACAGCATTGAGAGTAAGACCATGGTTTCAAATCCCATATAAAGTAGTTATCTCCCCTAGAAGAAAAACCTAAGAATGAGGGATCCCTGTTCCAATCAAACCAATTTATTTGAGCTACCCCCCACCCCAATAGCTTGGCAGTTATGAGAGTCTGATCCCAGATGACCTACTATAGTTTGATCCTGATCCTGGCGGCTTCAAAAACACACAGGGTGAGGGCCAGCAGGTTGCATAGTGGTTAAGGCACTGGACTCTCACATGGCCAACTGCAGTTTGAGTCCTGGACCAAGCAGCTTGAAACACAATGGGCACGTGTGCACACATGCCCAAAGTCCCAAGAGGAGAATGGAGAAGAAGGAATTGCAGCATGGTCACCCCCTTTGAGGGGTGATTTCTCACATTTTCTTTCTGTTTCTCTGGTGACCACACATGTGCTGTAGCAAAAATCTCTCAAAAAAAAGAAAACAGGGAGAACAAAAACACACAGGATGTGTATGTATGCATGTCCCAAATCCTGACGGGATGGAGAAATGGAGGAAAATGGACCGTGGCATGATCAGACCCCACTGGGGGTAGGGGTGCTCTTTCTTTCTCTTGCATGTATACATGCAATACATGCACATACCCTCTGGCAATTAAACACACACACACACACACACACAAACAGCTTTATTCATGAGATAAGGATGAATAAGCTTGAAGGATTTCTCAGCTGAAGAATAAAATTTAAGAACTACTTCCTCAGAATAGCATCAAAAGACCCAAGCATCCCTTCTAGGAAGTAACTCAGAGCAGTATTTCCCTGGGGAGTGAGTGAACAGCATCACCCTTTTAGGCTTGTCAAGAACAGATGTGCCCTGGAGGGCATGGACCTAAGGACCCCCACTAGTAGATGGTGTCGTGTTGAGGTTGGCCCTGCCCTCCAGCATGATGTCTAGCACAGGAAATGTAAGACTGACCTCAAAAGCTGATGTTTCTGTGAATTCTCTCTTCTAGTCTGAAACGCTGCACATTAACCCACTCTACACCCTGATCCCAGTCACCATGTGCATCTCATTTGCAGTGATGCTGCCTGTGGGCAATCCTCCCAACGCCATCGTCTTCAGCTACGGGCACTGCCAGATCAAAGATATGGTGAGTGCTCGCTTTCTGTCAGACCCAGGTGCCATGAGGACTGGGATAACTGGTTCCATGGCTTTATCTCAAAGTTGATTATTCTGTAACAGTTTATGTTGAAGAAAGAATGGTACTGTAGAAAGGTTGTTAGTTGGTCCATAAGCACCAAAAATAGCAATGGTGTGCTCTCTCCAACCCTTACCTGAAAAAAAGTGGAAACAGAGTAAGTGCAACTAGACACAGGATGTGACCAGTTCCAGGGGGCGGGAACTTGCATGAGTTTTGCCTGTTTCTTCACTGGACCAGAAGAATATTCATTCAAAGCTGCTAGATGGGGCCAGCGATGGCATAGTGGTTGTGTCGCTGGACTCCCACATGGTCAACTGCAGTTCGAGTCCCAGACCCAGTGACTTGAAAGTCATGGCCAGGTACATGTGCATGGGTGCCCAAAATTCCAGGAAGAAAATGGAAAATGTCCATCCCCTTGTGGGGGTGGGATTTCTCACTTTCCCTCTCACTGTCTCTGTCTCTCTCCAGGGAGTATGCACACTATATGGCAAAAACCTCTTAAAATAAATAAAAATAAAGCTGCTGATTTATCCATAGATGAAATAAGAGAAACTGTATAAACCTAGGGCAGATAAAAGGTACTTTACGAGAACAGGATCATTCTGTTCAGCTTTCCCCCATGCGAGAAACTCCTGAAACAACAGCAAAATGAAGAATCCTCACTTCAATTTTTTCTTAATTTTCAGCCAGCTCACAAAAGATGGTTTTGAGGAGACATTTTGCTGCTGGGCAAATCCGCTCTCCACTCCTAACCTCCATTCACTGCTATGTTCTTAATATCCAAGGTTGATGGGGCGTTGGGGAGATGAAAATAACTAAATTACTGGGGTCTGTCTGAAATAGGGCCTGTTTCTGTTGCTGAGGGTCTGAAAATGTTTTTTTTTCCACTAGACCCCAAACTTGTTCTCAGTAGCCATATGAAATATAAAATGGGAACCAGCGATTGGCGTAATGGCTATGTCGCTGGACTCCCATGTAGTCTACCACATTTTAAGTCCTGGACCCGGTGGCTTAAACTCATGCTGGGCCATGTGTGCATGCATGCCCAGGATCCCAAGAGAATGGGGGAGAAGGGATTGCGGTGTGGCCAGCCCCCGACCCCCACCTCCCCAAAATGGAAGAGCTTTCTGGCCGGTAGCAGATTTTGCCACACACACTGCTTATCCAAATTACCTGTGATACTTGGGGAAGTCCCGGCCATCCCTCCCTGCACCTCCTCTCTTACAACAGAGTCCCCAGGCTACTCACACAGGCTCTGTTCCACTCTCCTGTCTCCCACTCCCTCCACTGTAGCCCACTTCTCAGCCCTAGCCTTCTTCACTGGAACCATACTGAGAGGAATTTCTGAACGTGCTGGATACTGAGATGTGAGCAGTCTTGGGTTCTATTCCTGCCATGGGCACTAGATACTCCATGTGATCCCTTTCAGTTCTAAAGGGCCTTAACTGAGCTCCTTCAGAACCTGCCCCTCACCTACTGGGAAACACGGGCTGTTCTTCATGCCAAAAGGCCCAGGGGTTCAGAATGATTGAGAAGCCCAGAGTTCCAGGGGCAAAGAGAGGAGACACGTTTTGTCATTTGCTTGGGATAATTTCCCAGCATCCATTTATCCCTTGTACGTTTCCCAACTTAACTACACACTGTGGTTGGTTACCCCCTGGAAGTATGCCAGCCGTCCTTACTGTACACGTTTTTACACCTGGGCCTGGCTCTGCCATCCCATCATTCCTCAAACCCCATTCAGCCCTATGTCACTGCCACAGCAGCAATGAAATGGGTCACAATCAGTGAGGTACAACTGCGTCAGAAGAAAGGAGCAAAGTTCCACTCCAGCTAGCAGGCTGTCACCTCTCCATGGAAGGACTGGCAGGCAGCTGACCTGCTTCCCCAGGTGAACCCAAAGTACGCTGCTTCTAGAGGCTCTTCTTGGGGCAGGAGGAACAGCAGCAAATGCTTCCTATAATAGAGCCCTGAACAAGTTCCCTGTGTCTATTAGCATGAAAGAGGCTCTGAGAAGTCCCTGCTTTAAAGAAATCTGTAACACATTTCCTATTGTTTAGCTGCAGAAATAACTCAGCACTCCACAGATCTGGTGTTCCAGGTAATTGACATGCCTTCTAGACCAGTGGTCCCAAACTTTTTGGCACAAAGGACTGATTTTGTGGAAGACAATTTTTTCATTGACAGAGAGAGAGGGTGGTTTTGAGATGATTCAAGCACGTTTATTGTGCACTTTATAATTATTACTTTATATGAGGTCGTTGGAAAAGTTATGATGCATTTTTGCATAGAAAAACACATCATTGGGGCTAGCAGGTGGTATGTTGGTTAAGGGCTCTGGACTTCCACATGACTGACCACGGTTCAAGTCCCAGACCTGGCAGCTTTCTACTCTCTCTCTCACTCTATCCCTCTCTAGTCAATTAAAATAAATGGATATAGTTAAATAATTCTTTAAAAAGAAAACCACATTTATGACTTTGCTGATGACCCAATATAACAAAAAAATTATGCAACTCACTATAATGCAAAATCAGTAGGAGCCATGAGTTTGTTTTCCTGCAAGTAGAATGCAAGTGCATTTGAAGCCAAACTGGAATTATGGAGGCAACAAGTGAACACTAGGATATTTTTTTTTGGCGGAGGAGGGGGAGATTTTTGCTATAGGGTACATGCAATCACTGGATAGACAGAAAGTGAGAAACCACCACCCAGGGAGAATGGCCACACCACAATGCCTTCTCCTTCATTCTCCTCTCAGGATTTTGGGCATGCACGTACACGCACCCAGCATGAGTTTCAAGCCTCCAGGTCTGCGACTCAAACCATGGTTGGCCATATGGGAGTCCAATCACATAACCATCATGCCATCTGCTGGTCCCAACACTGGGATATTTAATGTTTCAGTGTGAGAATCTAATGCCACAGCTAATCTGACAGAGGCAGAGCCCAGGTAGTAACGTGAGCAATGAGGAAGAGCTGAAAATACAGATGAAGTTTTGCTTTCGCTCACTTGCCCGCTGCTTACCTCCTGCTCTGCAGCCCACCTCCTAACAGGCCAGAAGTGGGCAACCTCTGTTCTAGGCTTCTGCTTTACAGTGTAAACAAGAAGTGGAGATGATTCTAATCACCCTCTCCCAGACACCATTCCTGCCGGCCTTTCTAGTCCTTTCAGTCTCATGCCACACTAACTCCAAGGCAATGCTGGAGCCCCTCGGGCTGTGCCTGGGACAAATTAGGGCCAAGCGGGCAGAGCCAGAGTCAGGTTGAGGCCACAGATAGCGACCTCTTGGGGAACTGTGCTGGCTGCTCGGAGTGACAAGGGTGTACTGGTTTGTGCCCTACAGGTGAAAGCTGGCCTGGGGGTCAATGTCATTGGCCTGGTGATTGTGATGGTGGCCATCAACACCTGGGGAGTGAGCCTCTTCCAGCTGGACACTTTTCCGGCCTGGGCTAAGGTCAGTAACATCACTGATCAGGCCTAACACAAGTGGACAGACTGACCCAACCAAAGGAACACCCAGGATCTGGACACAGGCAAAGAAAACCACCAGGTGCACCCAGCCCAGACCCATGCTCGAGGACACACCCCCAGAAGGTTCTGCCACCTCCCGTCTCAAGCAAAGTGCAGGAATCCAACCACCACGAACACATGCTTGGCTGTTAGTGTCTTCTCTGCCCTCCTTCCTTAGCACCACAATTCAGAAAAACCTAATTGTCCTTACTCCCGTACTAGCCTTCCCAAGGGATTCTTTTTGAAGACAGAAAGCCTGTCTTAGCTGCCCATCACAGGCTAAGCCTCAATCTGACTAGTCTCACTAGGTGTCAGGTTATTCTTAACGCCTTCTTAGGAGCTGAAGGAACCATATATCCAAACCTTCCTCCTATGCAAATAGTGAAACCAGTGACATCTCTATGGGAGGAAAACTTACCCAGAACTTGACACCTAACGTCAGCTCCTTTCTCTTGTTTCTACCTAAGTTCCTGAAGTGAACACTAGGATATTTTTTTTTGGCGGAGGAGGGGGAGATTTTTGCTATAGGGTACATGCAATCACTGGATAGACAGAAAGTGAGAAACCACCACCCAGGGAGAATGGCCACACCACAATGCCTTCTCCTTCATTCTCCTCTCAGGATTTTGGGCATGCACGTACACGCACCCAGCATGAGTTTCAAGCCTCCAGGTCTGCGACTCAAACCATGGTTGGCCATATGGGAGTCCAATCACATAACCATCATGCCATCTGCTGGTCCCAACACTGGGATATTTAATGTTTCAGTGTGAGAATCTAATGCCACAGCTAATCTGACAGAGGCAGAGCCCAGGTAGTAACGTGAGCAATGAGGAAGAGCTGAAAATACAGATGAAGTTTTGCTTTCGCTCACTTGCCCGCTGCTTACCTCCTGCTCTGCAGCCCACCTCCTAACAGGCCAGAAGTGGGCAACCTCTGTTCTAGGCTTCTGCTTTACAGTGTAAACAAGAAGTGGAGATGATTCTAATCACCCTCTCCCAGACACCATTCCTGCCGGCCTTTCTAGTCCTTTCAGTCTCATGCCACACTAACTCCAAGGCAATGCTGGAGCCCCTCGGGCTGTGCCTGGGACAAATTAGGGCCAAGCGGGCAGAGCCAGAGTCAGGTTGAGGCCACAGATAGCGACCTCTTGGGGAACTGTGCTGGCTGCTCGGAGTGACAAGGGTGTACTGGTTTGTGCCCTACAGGTGAAAGCTGGCCTGGGGGTCAATGTCATTGGCCTGGTGATTGTGATGGTGGCCATCAACACCTGGGGAGTGAGCCTCTTCCAGCTGGACACTTTTCCGGCCTGGGCTAAGGTCAGTAACATCACTGATCAGGCCTAACACAAGTGGACAGACTGACCCAACCAAAGGAACACCCAGGATCTGGACACAGGCAAAGAAAACCACCAGGTGCACCCAGCCCAGACCCATGCTCGAGGACACACCCCCAGAAGGTTCTGCCACCTCCCGTCTCAAGCAAAGTGCAGGAATCCAACCACCACGAACACATGCTTGGCTGTTAGTGTCTTCTCTGCCCTCCTTCCTTAGCACCACAATTCAGAAAAACCTAATTGTCCTTACTCCCGTACTAGCCTTCCCAAGGGATTCTTTTTGAAGACAGAAAGCCTGTCTTAGCTGCCCATCACAGGCTAAGCCTCAATCTGACTAGTCTCACTAGGTGTCAGGTTATTCTTAACGCCTTCTTAGGAGCTGAAGGAACCATATATCCAAACCTTCCTCCTATGCAAATAGTGAAACCAGTGACATCTCTATGGGAGGAAAACTTACCCAGAACTTGACACCTAACGTCAGCTCCTTTCTCTTGTTTCTACCTAAGTTCCTGCCACAAAAAGGCAAACCTTAGTAGGTGCTCTTGATGGCAATTAGTACTCTCTTATTACCACTTTGATTCCCTCTGAAGCATCTCTCAATGGCTCCCCTTTACCATGGCACCAAATTCCTGTATTTAAAAAAAAAAAGTGTTCCCCTTCAAAAAAAGGCTGGTGTTTCTCTTTGTCAAGAGAAAAGGAAGTAGACACAGTGAGCTCAGCATCTCTCTCCACTCCTCACTAACCACCAGTACCATTGCCCTTAAGTGCTGGGAAGGAGAGAAAACGTTCAGACCTGTCTTACTATGAACACAAAAACTAATGAATAATGAAGATCACAACATTACTGATATTGGACTGGCTTGCTTCGGGATTTAATAGTAGTTTGTTACTGAGAAAGTAAGTACCATAGTCCCCAAACATTCAAAAAGTCACTTCTTAAACGTCGATGAGCCCCTTTAGGGGATGTCTATGCCTCCATCTCCTGAATTCCCCAGCAACTTCTACAGTGTAGTAAGCTGTAACTGCTCAATAAATGTCTCCCATGATAAAAAACACTCTGGAAATCAAGACTTCCTTCTTCTTCCATTTTCTCTATGACAGATGTCCTTGTGATGTGGCTGAATACAGCTCTCAACCTTTCCACTTTGTTAACTTTACATTCTGATTTCTACCATCTAACCAGAATGTGCATGGCCAGGTTAAACTGGAAATATAACTACTACTGCCCTGTCAATTAGCTAAAGTCAAAATATTTGGCCCGTATCACAGTGAAGATGTCATGAGCTCAAGTGAAATTATCAGTATTAGGGACACTATAGCTGGTCTGAGCAAGCATATCTATGGTCATTTTGGTTTACAATGTTCAAGAGTTACATCACAGGGGAGCCAAATCACAGTATTTCTGACCCATAAGAGAACTCAGACCTTAGCTTCTAAGTCAGACAACAAGACAAACGTACATGATAGTAAGATTCTGGGAGTAAGGCCAGCCCCATGGCCTAGTGGTAAAGAGAGGCAGATTCCACATGGTCAAACGTGTGGTTTGAATCCTGGCCCTGGAGGTTTGAAAACCACACCAGGCACGTGTGTGCATGCCCCCAAATCCCAGCAAGATGGAGAAGGGACTGCAGTGTGACCATGCCACGGGGGTGGGGGAGGGCAATGCTCTCTCTCTCTCTCTCTCTCTCTCTCCATCCCAGACTTAAAACTAAATTTTAAAAAAAGATTTCAGGAGTATAAGGAGAAAAAAAAAAAAAAAAGACTGACTCAGAATGAAGTGCCCTAAGAATCACTGGCCGCTGTCCAGCTATTTGAGAACCTGACTCACTCAAGAGAGAGCAGCGCCAACTCCTCACAGCAACTGCTGCCAGGTGCTCCAAGTACCTAATGCATCCAACTGGCCAGTTTACAAATCAAGTCTGTTTCAATCTGGTCTATCGACTGCTCTCCAGAACAGCACTGTTCTTTCCCCAAACCAGAGATACGGGCCAAACAAGACTGCCCATTCCAGTGACAGGAAATGGCAGATATGATTAACAACTCTTTGTCATCTACTATAATTCCTCTGTTGGATAACTTCTAGCCCTCTATTACTCTAATCAAGGCTGCCTTTGAAATTCCTTTAAGACACCCAGAAAGTATATGGTATATAATCTTTTATGTTAGCACTTACGTATCACAAAGACTCATGTACCATCTTTTATTATATTTAGTTTTTGCTGTAGGGTGAATGCACTCACCAGAGACAGAAAGAGAGAAATTACCCCCTAGGGGAGGATGGCCATGCCATAATCCCTTCTCTTCCATTCTCTCTGGATCCTGGATACACACATGCCTACAGTGATTTTCACCAGCCAGGTCCAGCATTCAAACCACGCAGTAGGCCATGAGGGATCCAGTACCCTAATTTCCACCTCCTGGCCCCATCTTATGTGCCACCATTTTTTTTTTAATTAATTAATTTATTTTTCATTTGACCAGAGGAACAGAGCAAGAGAGAGAGAGAGAAAGTAAGAAAACAAGTCACCAGGTCCAGGACTTGAACTGCAGTCAGCCATTTGGGAGTCCAGTGCCCTCAACCATCACACCACCTGTTGGTGCCTTATGTGCCATCTTTTAACAAATAAAAATAGCAGGCCAGCCTGTGGCATGGTGCTTAAGGTGGCTGGATCCCACACGGTCAATCTTACAGTTCCTTGAAAAACACACCAGGCAAATGGGCATGTATGCCCAAGATCCCAAAAGGAGAGAAAGATGAAAAAAGGATTTTGACATAACTGTTCCCCATGGGGGAGGTGCTTTTTCAATTCCACACACCCTCTGGCAAAAATAAATAGCTATTAATAGCTTCAGAATAGATCAACTTCTTCAGGTGAACACTACATGAGGTAGCTGGTTTCACATTTAAGGACCGTGTTTGAAAAAGTCTCTCTAAGCACTCTCAGCATAGCAGGATGCTCAACCACTTGAACACACGTAGCTCATCGTGGGACTGCCTACCTTGTGTGAACGCAGAGCACAATGCACATACTACACAGCACTTTTTTTTGGTCTGTCATGTACTATTGTACGGGTAAGATGATGCAACTGCCCTGTACCTTTCCTGAGGCCCTCCCACAGACAAAGTGCTTCGAGCAGGCCTAGAACAAAGGTTCTGCAACACCCCGCCCTGGGCACTTTCCACCAAATCTCACTGTTCTCAGTGCTCATTTCCTTTCCGGTGCCTTACAGAACACACCATACATTAGACTGTCAGTACTTGACTAATTTAAGAGATGTATAAACTGAAATTCTGAGGACCTAAGTGTTACAAACTCCCTATTAATACCAGGCAAAGTAGTTTTCCTTCACCTCCCTGTTTCTTTCCACAAGGCCAGGCCCTAATAGTACAGGGAAAAAAAGACCTCATTCATCGTGTAAGGAATGGAAACGCTACATGCAAAGCCCAAGACTGGAGGTTTCAGAAAAGCTTCATTTGCTCCAGTACAGTATATAGTGTTCTTCAAGAATAACAGAAAAGGCATTAAACATGTGGGAGACCTCTGCAGAAAAAACAAACACCAGCAAGTATCTAGGGAATGAACTGCTTAGTGGAAATGAAAACATTACACATGTGTACCGATGCTCTATGAACCACATGTGCACACAACTAGCAAAACCACACCTTATTTTCTCTATAGCCATTCAAATGGAAATTGAGTAAATGAGAAAGAGAAAATAAAATTGGTTTTTAAGTCAGTAGTGGGTCACTGCTTAATTCCATAAAACACCAAATCAGAAATCCAAAGATGTCAATTGGTAACGTCAACACATTTAATACAACTGTTTTATTTACGAGTCTTTTCTTTATTCATAAGAGTGTGTGCATACGTAGAGAAGTACCTTCTACAGTCTGGTTATGCTGCGATCCCTTTCCTTCACTTCACCAGCCCATTGGGATCTTGGGCACTATATGTGTGTCCAGCATGTTTCAGGGGAACCAGGCCAGGGATTTGAACAGTGGTTGCCATGTGGGACCCGGCTTTCCTTGAGCAGTGCATTACCTCTGCACCATAGAGCTGGCCTCCCTTTGATGATTTTAAGTAAAGCTGTTTTTTTAGGGAGGGTTAGTTCAAGGGTAAGCTTTTTAATAAGTTCAGTGTATTTATTAGGTTTCCAACATCAGTCCTGAAGTCTTGTTATTTCACATGTAAAAATAACTTGCAGTATTTTAAACTTTTTTAAAGTTGATTTCTTCCTGTGTGTGTGTGTGAGAAAAAAGACAGAGGCACCCCCAATACGATCTTAATGCCACAATCCACCCAGATTCAGCTAGTAACTGTCATGGGCACAATGTGCCCAGAGAACTCAGGGAGGTCAGACAGAGAGAGACAGTGAAAGGGAAAGTGAGAAAGCATCCCTGAGTAGGGACAGCCACAACGCAACTCCTCCTCTTCCATTCCCCTTCTGGGACCCTCAAGCGCACACACACACACACACACACACACACACACACACGCATATGTACCCACACCCCATGTGATTCTCAAGGAGCTCAGTCCAGGACTTGAACTGTGGTCAGCAATGCCCTAACCACATCACCTGTTGGACCTAGAAACAGCCTTCTAAGCTTCTAGAATTTTGAACACCCTCAAAGGTAGTAAGTGTTTATCCTTTGAGACTATATAGTTCATTCTGCTAACAGTCATTTAAGATCCAATCTTCTGAGCCAAGTGGTATGATAAAGATCAATACTGTAAATTTTATGAATAGAGTGACCAGAAAATAATGACAAATTTTGTATTGTTCACAAACTGATTCCAAAAATCACTGCAGAAATGCAAAGTATTCTGGCAAAAAGTGGCATGTTCATACTATTATCTACTATTTATTGGACAATTCACAGAGCACTATGCAACACACAACACATACGTTATATCTTAAGAAAACCCTATGAGGTAGGTATTACGTTAGCATCTTACAAATAAAGCAAGAGTTTCAGAAAGAATACGCTATGTGCGCAGTCATGCTGCTAGGGAAAAGCCAAAACGTAATTTGATTCTTATCTATCTCACACTCAAGATGAATGACTTTGACAGGCTTGGGACCTTGACAAGTATAAAACTTATCTCTATGTGTAAGAAATCTGTATTTTCAAAGAGAAGTAGAATTAATTTAGAGTCACATATAGAATCAGTTATCATCACTGTCTGAAAAAGCATGCTCTAAATAATTCTGGAGTTTGTGGATTCAGCTAAAATGTCTTTAGAAATGGCTTTATGAGTGAAGCTGCCTAGCAAGACTTCTAAAACAAAACACCTAATGAAATGGGTGTTTATCTATACTTAGTGCAAATTACACTTTTAGGACACTATTGTACAGCTATAACCCGCACAGACATGTACAATAACATTAGATTTGAGGTTCTCACTGTAGTAGCAACAGCACAAGCTAAGTCAGCAGTACAGATTAAACAAACTATGGTATATCCATTCAACAGAATCTTATGTAGCCAAAAAAAGAAATAAGGCTCCTCGTTTCTTAACTCGGACAGGATGTTCTCCATTTAAAAAAAAAAAAAAGCAAGGGGTAGCAGACCTCTAGACAGTTTGCCACATGTGTAAGAAAGAAACCCCATCCGCATGTGTTTGTGTAGGCAGAAAGAATCTGGTAGCAACTGGTAGTAATGACTGCCAGAGGAAGAAGAACTAGAAGCTGGAGAACAGGGACAGGGCGGCCCTTTACACAAAATCACTTTTGTATCTTGTCCTGTGGGAATAGTTACCTATTCAAAATTTTCTTTTAGCTAGAAAACAAAAATGACTGACTAAACGTCTGATAAATTTCAAGGGTAATTTCTGACTGCAGGGAGAAAAGAACAGCATCAATTGTGGAAAGCAGGAGAAATTCTCCTTCCTGAGATGCTGATCTTACTATATATTTAGGCCACATAGTTTATATGAGAATCATTATAAAATTATAATGTAAATACTTGTTTTTAATGTGAAAGGAATGAAATTTCTTTGACAGACAACTTCTCAGTTAGCTATCATGTAATGTCAAATGTATCTATAATCCCAAATGTAATTCTTTTTGAGAGAAGAGTCAGATTAAATATGTCATTTAGGAAAAATATATGTACTAAAAGGGACTAAATTCTGGGACAAAGACCATTATTTTGCTTATTTTAAACTCCCCAGTTCCTGATGGGATTCTTAGGATAGTTTCTCAGTTAATATATAGCAAATTGATTTATTGGTTAAATTAACAATTATGAAACTGCCTGACAAGAGTATAAAACAAATAGATAATTCACCAGAAACTGGCTTCTAGATATTAATTTTAATTACTCTGAAATGACATAATTTAGTACCAAATGTTTAACAAGCACCCATTATAACTGCTAACTGTGAAATCAGCATTACTTGTAGCTGACTGGCTATTAAAAAAAAAAAACTTCATCATTTTTTCTTTTGACAAAAAGAGTAGAAATCCCAAAGAATAAGGGAGCGATTACGAATTAAAAGTCTTATTTACTAATCTAGCACCATAATTCCAGTCTCAGAACCTCCCAAGCAGCTGGAAAGAGAATAGAAAGAGGTGAAGATGTTGAAAGTAGAAGGATAGTTCTTAACTGTGGCCCCATTTTTGCTTTGAGGCAATACAGGGTCTAGCGAAAAAGGAAATCATTGAGACTGGAGGTGAAAACAAAAGCTTTTGGTTTGAATGATAAAGAAGGCCCTCGAGAGTAGTAGATGATTCGGTGTATCCAGAAGGCAGCCCTGGAGTCGGAGTCGGCCTCATGAACTAGGGGGTTTCTTCTTGGCATCCAAGTCCTTCTTAATTTCTTCAAGCTTTTTAGCCAGGTTTGGTATCTTTAAAGAGAAAAAAGATTATTATAATTTTTATCTACCTAATCAATATTCTTTTACTAGTCTTCCTCCAAAGATGAATGGTTTTATAAATTTTTATTTTCTTTTGAAAGAGACTTGCCTCTTAACAGTATACCACAGATATTAAAAGTTGTAAGTGAAGCTTTTACTTTTAAATACCCACCCTGTCTAACCCTCAATCCAGAGCCAAGTAAAAGCTGTACATATAAATAGTAAATGTGATATAATTAATAACACTCCTGCTTAGAAAACCACATGACTCAAGTGAAGGCTCACAAAAAGAATTTCCTTTGTCACACTAAAAGCTTTACTACAAATCAAAAGTTAATACCATGTTTTCCTTGTTTGTCTTTTCTTTTTTACAAAAATTATTTAATTTTATTCACTGTCATTATTTGATTTTACTATTATTTTTTTAAAGCTGACCAGAGAGACAGAGAGAAGGAAAGTGAGAAGGCAAGCTGCCAGGTCTGGGACACGAACCACAGCCAGCCGTGTGGGAGTCCAGCTACCTTAACCACCACGCCACCTGCCAGCCCCCTTTGTTTGTCTTTTTAAAATACCTAGGCAAGATCCCCATTCATGGGCAGTTGTGCCACCTGGTTTTCAATATCCCTATCTTTTAAACAAGGTTAACAACTCCCACTTCACAAAAACTTCCCTAAATGTGTTGCACTACTTAGAGATCACTCTCCAACATTCTTAATCGCCTCTACTATTGAGTAAGGCGTGCTGAAAAGATTATCCAATTAATCTTTAAATTCTCACTTGTTACATGGTTTTCCATAGTTCTTAAACTTAGTATTCTTGGGTTGAGGAACACAACTTAGGATAGGATAGGCAGGAGACCACCTAAACTGATGGAATTTTGCCCTCTTATAGTAAAACGAAGATGCTCCTGTGATTTATTATTCAAAAAAATGTAAAACCTTTCTCCAACATTCAGGGAGTCCTTCAGACCTATGGACTTCATTTATGTTGGAAGGCACACATTACCTCAACAAAAAAAAGTCATTATAAAACAGCTACATGGAACCAAGGAGAATGTAGATATAGCCACTTACGTCATAGTTCTGAGCCAGATACATTCCCACCACGTTGCCCAAAGTAAATCCAAGCTGAAAAAAATAGAACAGGAAGGGTTACACTGTACATCAAGTCCTGTGCCGGCCCGACACCAAACCCAGCACATAGACACCATCTTCTTAAGGAGCTCAGGACAGTTACAAGACCTTGATATCCAGTCTAGGACTGTGTACAGGACTCATATTTTTCTTCTATAGTACCCTCCCCGAAGGCTTAAAAGCATACAAAACTAAGAATAATGGTGGCAATGGATAAATCTATCCTAAGTTTTCCTTATCTCCTCACAACCAAAACACATGACTATAAATTCTAGAAATCCTAGCCAGAGTTCTTATGGTAACTGTGGATTCAGATTTTCAGGTTGACCTCAAGACACACCAGGCCCACACGCGACTATCCAAGATCCTGACGTGCTAGAGAGCTGGGGAAAGGAGATTGTGGGATTCTTCTTCTGGGTCTTTCTCTTAGGTCTTGTATGTGCATACTCTATCGTAAAAAGGAGGGAGGGATAAGAAAAATGAACTAGGATTCTGGTCCTACTACCATCTAGATGTATCTTTAGGCAAGACAGTTAACCTCTATGGAGCTTTGCTGATTTGAACTTCCTGATTTAGAAAACACCACACCAACAATGTAATGTTCTAGTTCCAACATTCTAAGATTCCTAGTTCTTACCGTCTGTGTCTCAAAATAAATATGGCATAAATGAGGTAGCTTCATTTTGTTTTCTTTTTTGTTGTTGTTTTGCTACAGAGCACATGCTCTCTTTGGAGAGAGACAGAAAGAGAGAGAGAAAGTGAGAAGTCTCCCCGTGGGGCAATGGCTATACAACAATCCCCTCCTCTGTTCTCCTCTCAGGATTGTGGGCACACATGTCTGGCATATTAGCCACCAGGTCTTGACTCAAACTGTGCAGTCATCTAGGTGGGATCCAGCCACCTTTACCTCCATGTCACCTGCTGCCCCCAAAGTGGCTTCATTTTTGTAAACTTGATCAAGCATCGGGGCACATTAAAACATAAAACAAAATAAAAACCATGGGCTTCTAGACAAGTCATATATAATCCCAGTTTCAGAATAGTACCAGATCTACCAACAAGATATTACATTTACACAAGCAATAATACACCAACACATGGCGTGGTAGTTAGGGCACTGGATCCTACATGGCTCACTCTACGGTTTCAAGACTCAGATCCAGTCCCTTGGGAAAAACAAAAACAAAAACAAAACATGGTACACTCATGTCTGCATACCCAAAATCCTGAGAGGAGAACGGAGGAGAAGAGATTAAGGTTTTTCCATCCTCTATCAGGGGGTGATTTCTCACCCTACCCCACCCCACCATGTCTTTCTCTGGGGAGCGTATGCACCCTATGGCAAAAATCTTGAAAAAAGAGAGGAATAAAAAAAGAAACCACATTTAAAATAAATGGATGTACCTCAAATTGTTATTAAAGGCTCTAAATATGCTGAGGAGGTATTAAAATTTAAATTGGGGAAGGAATTGAACATGAGAACGAGATAATGGGAATGAAGATGGGATGACTGAAATAAAAGAAACAGGACTGATTAGAAAAGTAGATTTAAGGAATGAAGAAAAATGCATATGGAGAGCTGGACAGGGCTAACTAATGGACCTCAAAAATCAGGAAAAGAAGTTTAGTTCATAGGCAGTATATAAGTTCATTTTCCATGAACTTCAAAAAGTTCATGGAAAATGTGCATTATGAAAAAGCTATACATGAATTTTAAAACATTTGTACGCCAAAATAAATTCACACTTAAATTCTATTTTTCCATGAACCTTCTGAAGTCTCTTCAGAGTTGGGAGCCACTGACTAGTCTTTATCAAACAATATGATTAAAAACATTGCTTTGGAAGCATTCACCCGGTAGCTCTACTTGAAAATGGCTGAATATGTATAGATTAGAGAAAGCTCAGATGCATGTAGTGCACATGAATAGGGCATAGCAAGTAAACATGAGTGAGTTGTTTTTCTTCTTAAATAATAAAGACCAATGAACCAGAATGGAGTGTCCAGAAATAAACCTTCAAATTGATGTACAAGTGATTTCCAATAAAGATGCTAAGACATCTAATAGGGAAAGGATAGTCTCTTTCAAGAAGTGGTGCTAGGACAATTGGACAGCCACATGCAAAAGAAAAAAGTTACATCTCCAACTTCACATTATATATAAGAAAAAAAGGGGATTAAAAATTTAACTTTAAGAGCTAAGACTATAAAACTCCTAGAAGAAAACAAAGAAATAAATTTTTGTGGCCTTGGGTTAAGTCCTGCTTTCTTAGATGACACTAAAAGCATACATGAGAAAAAGAAAAAAGATAAATTGGACTTCATCAAAATTAAAAACATTTGGGGACCAGCAGATGGCGTAATGGCTACGTCGCAGGACTCCCATGTAGCCGGTCATGGTTCGAGTTCAGACTCAGTGGCTTAAACTCATGCTAGGTACATGTGGATGTGTGTTCAAGATCCCAAGAAGAGAATGGGGAAGAGATTGCGGCATGGCCGTCCCCTGGGGGGGGGG